TTTAAAATAATATTAAAGTTTCAGTTACTTCATGCCATTATTTGACTAGATTTCATAATAGCTAGGGCACTGGAAAGAAAAGATAACCAATGAAAAGTTCTGTTTTTAGATACTCTTGTTACACTTTTGTTTTGACTTATTTTGTGGCACTGGGACACTGCATGGCAGACAAGTGCTCTACCACTGAGCCACACACATTTCCAGCCCTTTATTGTTGTACTTTTTCTCTGTACATTTCTTTTGGAGTGTTGGTATAAAATTACCACAGTAGCAGTTATTCTCAGTATGTATAGATTCACATTCTGTACTTCCAAGTGAGTCTTGATACTCTTCAGTCTATGCTACTGTTTTAAACTGCTCTATTATTGTCATAAGTACTTTGCAATTTAATGCCTATTTCTGAGTAATAGATTCATTCTTGTAAATTGGAGACAAAGTAACACAATGCTAACGCCAAAGTATAAATTTCATACATTTAAGCAATAATATGCTTAATAATAATACCACCATGAAAATGATGACAGCAGAGATAATTAAATGTATTCCATGAGTGACTAGTACAGTTGTTTTTTGTTCAACAATTATTAAGCTGATGGAATTTCCTAAAAAAATGGAATTTCATGGCTTTTTTCTTTAAAATCTTAAATTCCTTGGGTCCCAGTTGCTGGAATAGCACAGACTACTATAGGTTCAGGCATGCTAAAAAAAAAAAAAAAACCAGCAAACTGGAAAGAATGAAGAATATTTATCTCTTTACTTTTCTGTTCATTAAGTTCTTTCCTGAGAATGAATTCTAAATAAAACACAATTTCCAGGATATTCCTTTTCCTTTTCTTTTCTTTTTCTTTTTTTTGGAGACAGGACCTTGCTCCATGGCCCAGGCTAGTCCCAAACTCGAGATCCTTCTCCTTCAGCCTCTGAAAGAGCTGGGATTATATGCACACAATGAAAAACTTCAGTTATGCTGTTAATGTACCCTGAATTTACAGAACAGCCAATAACCAAGACTTAATAATTCCCTTTGGATCTGCAGAATTAATGGAGAATTATTTAAAAAACTCTGTGTGTGTGTGTGCCCACACATGTATGCAGGCCGAGAACAAGCTGTGGGAATTAGTTCTGTCCTTTTACCGTGTGGTTTCTCGGGGAAGCACCTTTACCTGCTGAGCCATCTCATGAATTAGACTCCTGAAGCAAGAATAACTTCACAGGACTAGGAATGTAGCTCAGCTGTATAACACCTGTCTAGTCTCAGCTACTGCTCTAGTGTCCTATGTTTGCCTGCTTGCTGCTGTGCTGGTCATGAACTAATACTCTGAAACTAAGCAAGCCTCCAGTTAAATTCTTCCTTCTATATGCTGCCTTTATCTTGGTGTTTCACCACAGCAATAAAACAGTAACTAAGACACATACACATTTTTTTTTTTAAGGAGATGATAAAAAATGCTGATGAGAATGTAGGGAAAGAGCAATCCTTATTACAGCTTGTGGAGGGGAAGGGATATGGTGGTTTGAAAGAAAATGGCCCCCAAAGGGAGGTGTGGCTTTGTTGGAGGAAGTGTGTCACTGTGGGAGTGGGCTTTGCAGTTTCCTATGCTCCAGCTACTCCCAGTGTCAGAGACCATTTCCTGTTGCCTACAAGACGTAGGACTCTGAGCTACTTCTCCAGCACCACATCTGCCTGCACGCTGCCATGCTTCCTGCCATGATGACAATGGACTGAACCTCTGAAACTGTAAGCAAGCCACCCCAAATTAAATGCTTTCCTTTATAAGAATTGATGTGGTCATGGTATCTCTTCACAGCAATAGAAACCCTAACTAAGACAGGGTGTAAACTATTACAATAATTATGGAAATTGGTAGGGAAGGCTCTAAAAACTTAAAAAATAGAACTCTCATATGACCCATCTATACTACATCTGAGCGTTTACCCAAAGGCCTCTATAGTCTCCTACAAAGATACACAGACATCTATGTTTACTGAAATGAGACCAGCCTAGATGTCCACTAATAAGTGAGTGGACATTGAAAAAATATACACACACAAAGGAATTTTATTTAGCTATAAGGAAGAATGAAATTCACAGGAAAATAGAAGGATCTGAAAACTATCATACGAAGTGAAGTAAGCCAGGCTCAGAAAGACAAATATTTCATGTTATCTTTCATATGTGGATTCTATTCTTTAAGAGGTTTATTTACTTTTATTTTATGTCTATGAGTGTTTTGCCAGCCTGCATGTAAGTCCATCATATGCATGTAGTGCTACAGAGGTCAGAGGAGGGGACCAGGTCCCCCAGAACTGGATTTAGATGGTCAAGAGCTGCCATGTGGATGCTGGAAACTGAACCCAGGTCTTCTGCAAGAACAGCAAGTGCTCTTAAATGTGAACCATTTCTTCAGACCCAGGACCCTAGTTTTCAATGTTTGTACCCATGTGGGAGGTTTGGGTGTGGGTCTGGGTTACGAAACTTGAAACAGGATTATACAGGGGGAAAAGAGGTATTAGAGAAGGGAGGAGGGCAGCAGAGCACATGTGACATGAAAATAGAAAGGAGGTTACTACAAATAGAAGAGTACAAAGTGGAGGGGTCACAGAGAGTGAGAGAACAGGTGGATAGGAGAATCAAAAATAAATTTTGTCTGAAAATTCTATAATGAAACATTAATGAGCAAAGTTGCAAAGGTATGTGGGGGATGACGGAGTACTGACAGGAATTGTAGCTTTTATTCCAAGTGAGATGGGAAACCATTGGAAGGTTGGAATAGAGGAGTGATGTGATCTGACTTGTATTTTTAAAGGATAATGTTTTGGGAAGACTAGTCTGTATGGGCAATGACGGTAGAAGCAGAAAGATCAATTAGGAGTCAACAAGTCAGAAAGTAACTAGGGGATTGTGTGGAGAGGATGGCTAGAGTACAGCATGACTAGTAAGCAAAAATAACTTCTGAGATAGTCTGCAATGACAATGTCACCACCTCTGGCTTAGAAAACAAATCTTCCATTTTATTTTAAAATTTAATCCTCTCTCTCTCTCTCTCTCTCTCTCTCTCTCTCTCTCTCTCTCTCTCATGAGTGTGTGTGTGTGTACACACATGCCATGGTGTGTGAGTATGGAGGTCAGAGAACAACTTATGGGAGTTGGTTCTCTTTTCCCACCATGTTGTTCTAGGTATCAAACTCAGGTCATTAGGCTTGCTGGCTAGGCTGCTGAGCCTTTGTTTGTTTGTTTGTTTGTTTGTTTGTTTGTTTGTTTTGGAGACAGGGTTCTCTGTGTAGTCCTGGAACTTGCTTTGTAGACTTGAATGGCCTCCAAATTCATAGAGATCCACCAGCCTCTGCCTCCTAAGTGCTTGGATTAAAGGTAGGCATCACTATGTCTAGCTGCTGAGTCTTCTTACTGGTCAAAATCTTACAAAGTTTTATAGCATCAAAAGAGAACCAATGGAAAAGCAAAGAAAGACATTCCAACAAGAGGAAAATACTGAAATAATGCAGTAGCCATTTGTTATATTAGAACTATACTCTCATAGTGACAGAATTCTCCCTAGAGGAGACTGCCTTGTTTATCTAAGTAAGCCATTGGCAAAGGTCTCACTTGAGTATATCTGTGAATAGAAAGTGCTGTGGGATGTCTTTCTGTATGCTGTGAATATGTGTGGCTCCCTTTGGATAATAAATAAAGCTGTTCTGGACTATGGCAAGAAAGATTGCAGTCAGGCAGGAAATCCAAGCAGAGATATATAGAGAAGAAGCGTTGCGTCGAGAGAGACATCAGCCCTCTGTGAAAGATACCAGCAAATGGCCATGTGGCAACATATAGATTAAGAGGAATGGGTTAATTTAAGATAAAAGAGCTAACTAGCAAGAAGCTGAAGCCATAGGCCATACAGTTTGTAATTAATATAAGCCTCTGAGTATTTTATAAGCAGCTGTGGGACCACGGGTGGGAGAGATTCGTCCAGACTGCTGGGCAAGGCAGGAACAGAGAAATTTCTGTCCACAAGCTCGCATTTTGGATATCTCATGCCCAAATAATCCGAGACTTCACTGCTGGCCTGTACCCTCTCACTCATGATGACATCTACCTGTGACTCATTAGATCAGACTATATCTGAGAATCAAGTAGTGTGAGCACCTCACAAAATGGAGTTGTGAGCATGTTATTTTAGATCCTTACACGGTTTGTTCTCTGTTTACACATGAGCTACTTCTCATTATCTCTAGACACAATTTTAGGGGTCAAGAGACATCTTTTTTGAGGAGGATAAACTGCTAACAATTATTTTCAGTATTACTTGGAAACGCTAAAGCTCAACCAAATATGAAAATTTGTAAGAGTAAAGACATAGATAGAGAGATGGATCAGAAGTTAAGAGCACAGGCAGACTGCTTTTCCAGAGGACCCAGGTTCTATTCCTAGCACCCACATGGCAGCTCATAACAATCTTGAAGCTCCAGTGGGAATCTGATGCTCTCTCTTGGCTTCCTCAGGTACCAAATGCACATGAGCACAGACACTCATGGAGGCAAAACACCCACACAAATAAAAATGTATCTCAAAAAAAGAGTAAATATATGCCTCACAATACCAGACAGAATATTAGTGGGATTTTATACTACCAACCTCTGTTAAGTATTGACCCACATGTGAAGGGATGTGAATATAAATAAAAAATTTGCCGGGTGGCGGTGGCGCATGCCTTTAATCCTAGCACTCGGGAGGCAGAGTCAGGTGGATCTCTGTGAGTTCAAGGCCAGCCTGAACTACAGAGCAAGTTCCAGGACAGGCTCCAAAGATACACAGAGAAACCCTGTCTTGAAAAAACAAAACAAAAAAATTACTCATTTATTTTCACTCTTTAACTTCTTTCCATTTAAAATAATCATTATAGCCCAAATTAACTTTTGTATAACAATGTAAAAATCTGGATGCTAGATAACAATAAAGAGATGACTTAAGCAGTTTTATTATGACAAATTAGTACTCATCTTACCGTGGTGATGTAGCGGGAATGGAATTCAGGAGCATCTTTCAGGAAGGCGAGGCCAGGGTGTGTGTCTACCACATCCTTAAAAAGATTGAAATCAAAATTAAGTTAATAAACATTAAAAAAAATTCTTCAGAGGCGTTTCCTTCTTGTGGAGTAAACTTACAGTTAGTTGAGGTAATCCTATATTCTGGAATACTGCATAATGCATTGAAAATTTAACAAATACTTTATTATAAGCATGTTTATAATACATGATTTTCTACACACATAATATGTTTAAATATAAAATTTTAAATTAGCTATATTTGGTGATTTGTGAATCAAATGTCTTACAGATATGTACTGCAATCCTAAAACATTAAGGGAAATGACTGTCCCTTCTTTAGAATCTATCAGTAGCCAGTAATTCAGCAGGTAAGATGTGCTAGTTAGTTTTTGTCAACTTGACACAAATCTAGACATGTGCAAAGAGGGAATCTCAAGAGAGGAACTGCTTCCATCAGACTGGCCTGAAGGCATGATGTGGAACATTTTCTTGGTTAGTGATTGATGTGGGAGGGCCCAACTCACTTGGGTAGTAGCACCTCTGGTCAGATGGTCTTGAGTAGTATAAGACAGCAAGATGAACAAGCCATGGAGAGCAAGCCAATAAGTAGCTTTCTTCCACAGTTCCTGCCTTGACTTCCCTTAATGATGGACTGTAATAGGGACATGTAAGCCAAATAAACTGTTTCCTTCCCAAGTTGCTTTTGGTTAGTGCTTTATCATAGCAATGGAGAAGCAAACAAGGACAGAAGGTTACGGCCCCATGACCCCCCTCCCTGAACCATGGCTGGTGACAGGCCCAGTCTTATGTATGCCCAGTCCAAACAACTACAGCTGCTGTGAGATTATATTTGCAACGGCTGTATCATGAAATGATAACATTTCAACAGTCCTTCTCCCAATCTTCCAGCTCTTACATTCTTTCTGCTTTTTCATGATGTTTTCTGAGCCTCAGATGGTATGGTATAAATGTCCTATTTAGAGCTGAGCATCAACAATCACTTATTCTCAATATCCCAAGAAGTCATAATACTAATTTTTTTTCATGTGTGGTGAAAACATTTAAAACCTATTCTTAGGAATTTTCAACAATATACATTATAGTAAGGCATGGTGGCACATGCCTTTAATCCAAGTACTTGGTAGGCAGAAGCAGGAGGATCTCTGAGTACAAGGCCAACCTGGTCTACATAGTGCCTTTCAGAACAGTCAGGATTACATAGCAAGACCTTGTCTCAAAGTAAAAAAAAAACAAAAAAGAATATACATTGTTATTATATTCAGTGTATTGCACAATAATCTCTTGAATATACTGCTATCTAAAAATTTGTATCCTTGCTAAATGTCTTCCCCAGTGCTATGGGTGACAAAGACAGGAGGATCACTGGGGCTTTCTGGCTACTAGCTGAGCTGAGATTCAGTGAGATATCCTGTCTCAAAGGAATAAGGTGGGGAGTGATGGAGCAGGATGTTACCCTCTGGCTTCCATGAGTACAGAGTGTTACATCCACATACATTCTCTCTCTCTCTCTTTCTCTTAGATCCTGGAGTGATTTATTGTACAAAAGAAGCAAAGAATATCTGGATTTGAAGGATCTTCTGGTCATGGATTATTGCTACTTCAAAAATAACCCCCAACTTCAGACCTAGGGTACAGTTCCATGCTGAAGGAACCTCAGAAAAGTTAACATTTTCTTCTAGACTGGTAGATAAGGGCTAAAGGTCAAAAACTCAAAGAAGTAAAAGAAAATAAAAACTTCTTAAATTTTTTTTGAATTTATTATTTTATGTGTATGAATGTTTTGCCTGCATGTATGTCTGTGCATGACATGCCTGGTGCTCACAAAGGCCAGAACAGGATGTTGAAGCTGTCATTTGGGTCCTGGGAATCAAAAACCTGGACCCTCTGAAAGAGCAACATTGTTCTTAACCACTGGGCCAATGTTGCATCCCAAAACATACTTACAGCTCTGAGATTTTCTCTTAAAGATCTGAGATATATCCTTTCTACATGTAGAAAACATATTTATAAACAACAGATTTTAACATCTCAGAAACAGAAAAGAAAAAAAGACAAGTGTACTCTTGTTTCATTTATTGGGCTCCATTAGTAAAAATTGTTCCACATGGGTGAGTACCCTGGATGAGTAAATACAGAGCCTATGCAACTAAATAAATTACTAATATCCCTGAAATCTGGTGATAGTAATAGGGCCCATTGCCCTTAACCTAAATTGTTCCTAGGCTGGAGTGTTTTGACAGGCAGGCTTTGTGTCTTTTTTTTACTTCCTCCCCTACAAGTACTCCCCTCCCCCCCAACTCTGTTTCTGTCTACTTTTATGGGCTGGTGGCAACTGTCTTTGGAGATCTCAGTATGCTTGATTCAAGTTTCCATTCTCTTATTTCATTATTTATTTATTCATTCACTGGTTTCTTGAGACCGATCTGGTATGTTATATAGCACAGGTTACCTCCTCTTGCTCAGTCTCCTAGCGCTAGGATTATAGGCAGGCATTAGTATTCACCATGCACAGCTTCTTCCTATTCTAATCTTATGTACAAATAGATCTTAGTGGAAAAAACCAGAGGGCCATTTTGGATATGTGCTTAAATCAAAGAGTCAAGATGCCCCAAGTGAAGACTCCAGAGTTCATGATAGTTGTTTTGATTATTCCACAGCCTTTCTTGCTTCTCACCAGATTATTTTTTAAAAGTTTTCATACATTTTTTGATCATTATCTTTTCTTCCTCCTGCTCCTCCTGGATGCCCAACTTCATGTTTTTCTCATTATTAAAAAAATAAACAAACAAAAACCAAACCCACCACACCCACCACCACCACCACCACCACCACCACCACCACCACCACCACCACCACCTATTTCTGAGCATGAGGCTTGCCCTGGAGTATAGTTGATAAACTCAGTGTTACTGTCACGCTATTAAGAAAACTGATTTTCTCTCTTCCAGCAGCTGTAAGTTCCTGTTAGGTCCTTAACTATGGCTGGTAATAGTATTTTCCAAGCTATCTTTTTTTTAAAAAAAGGTTTATTTATTTACTATGTATACAGCGTTTTGCCTATATGCCAGAAGAGGGCACTAGACCCCATTATAGATAGCTGTGAGGCACCATGTGGTTGCTGGGAATTGAACTCAGGACCTCTGGAAGAGCAGCCACTGTTCTTAACCTCTGAGCCATCTCTCCAGCCCCTTCTAAGCTATCTTTTCAAATTTTAAAGTTTCATAAGATGTTTCTGTGATTACTGTGAGTGACTAAGGAGGAGGCTGAATGTAGTGGAAACAGCCCTGTTTTGTCTATTTTATACTATGGGTTCTGTTTTACATCTCATTTAACAAAAGATTTTACTACTAAAACAAATTTAAAAACCATTCTTAGCAATCTGGCCTCAAGATGTATGTATCTCTACTGACGAAGTATTATAGTTGTACTTTAAAATGAAAAAAGAAAAAAAATCATTTTACCAGTCATGGTGACCTGTACCTTAATCCTAGCATCTGAGATTAAGAGTTTGATGTTAGTCTAGGCTATACAGTAAGACTCTGTCTCTAACAGACAGACAAACCCAGAACCAACTAGTCAACCAGCTAAACAAACAAACAACAAACAAAACCCCCTTTTCAAACTCCAAAAATAAATTCCATTTTTAAAAGATACTAAAAATCACCTGAAGTAAAGGAATAAAATCTTCCTGTTCCAGATAGATGCAGCTGGGCTTTGCCAGGAGCCAGATGAATTTAGAGGCATCATCATGATGGTTATTTAGCAACCTACAAAAGAGACACTGGTTAGGAAGATCTGCTACTCAGAACATACAATGCCTACAAATTGACAGGGTGGTAATTTTAGTTTGACTTGAATGTTATTTAGATTAAGAGTCCAGCCGGGCGGTGGTGGCGCACGCCTTTAATCCCAGCACTCGGGAGGCAGAGGCAGGCAGATCTCTGTGAGTTCGAGGCCAGCCTGGGCTACCAAGTGAGTCCCAGGAAAGGCGCAAAGCTACACAGAGAAACCCTGTCTCGAAAAACCAAAAAAAAAAAAGAGTCCAATGGTTGGTGGGGTGTGGTGGTACACACCTTTAATCCCAGCAGAGGCAGGTGAATCTCTGAGTTCAAGGTCAGCCTGATCTACAGAGTGAGTTCTAGAACAGCCAGGCCACACAGAGAAACCCTGTCTCGAAAAACCAACCAACCAACCAACCAACCAACCAACCAACCAACCAACCAACCAACAAACAAACAGAATCAAATGCTCTCTGCCTTTTTATTTTCAGTGCTGGAATTAAAGGGCAAGCTTTGTGCAATTCCTCTACCACTAAGTTACCCCTTATCCCAATGCTCCCTTTTCAATGGCTTCCACACTTCTGGTTTTTGTCAAAGGAGTAACTTAATAAAAATCTCAGTTATAGGATGGTAAACTTTCTTTCTAGAATGTTTTTGAGTTGAAACCACAGGGTAAAAAAAATAAACTGATACAGGTAAAATACGTTACTAAAATACACTTAGTGTGGAAGGCCCATTCAGTTTAGCACAGGACATGTAGAACCAGAGTTTCTGAGCTAGCAAGAAGGAAATACCTCAAGCAGACTACTATGCACTATAGACGACAGGAAATTCTTGTTAGGTTGACATATCCATGGCCAGCCAGACGGGGGCTTTTTTTTTTTTTTTTTTTTTTTTTTTTGGTTTTTCGAGACAGGGTTTCTCTGTGTAGCTTTGCGCCTTTCCTGGATCTCGCTCTGTAGACCAGGCTGGCCTCGAACTCACAGAGATCCGCCTGCCTCTGCCTCCCGAGTGCTGGGATTAAAGGCGTGCGCCACCACCGCCCGGCTCAGACGGGGGCTTTTAAACTTCGACTTTTAGAGAACAGGCTTCAGAAAACCAGTCCTGTGTAAAGTCTTCTAAGTTTCTAGAATTCTTCACCTCCAACTATTTGCTGGGTATTTCCATATACTCTGACAGAAAAGTCAAAACACAGAAAAAGTAAAATTTAAAAGCTTTTCAAACTAGTCCTTTTTCTGGATTTGTGTGTGTGTGTGTTAAAATGGTGGTACCAGTCTTAGCTATCTGGGTTTGAAACCTTGTAGTCATTTAATTTTTTTTTTTTTAAGTCTCTATATCCAATAAGTAACTCCAAATTTTCTTATTATTCTTCATTAGTCAGTTATTGAATGGTAAGTATATGACAGGGATTGCATCTGGCCTTGAATGAGCTTGGGTAAAAGAAAATAAGACAGAGTTTTATTCCCTATGTGAAGTGTACCGTCCAGTGTTTGGTTACCAGTGAAATCATCCTATTGTGGAACAGCCATGATACTAAGTAATGAGTACAAGGTATCATAAAAGGACAGAGAAGGTCTGAGATTTCCGGCAGTATGAAGCAGGAAAGAAGGTGGTTACAATAAGGAGGGCAGCACACATAGATGCCTGGTAAGAATCATACAGCATTTGGGCAACAGAAAGTTCAAAGCGAGTAAGAGTAGGGAGCATGTGCAAATAAAATCTAAGAAGGACTCTTTTGTATCAGGTCAAGAATTTGCTCCATAGAAGAATTTTACCTCAGACAGTGACATGGTCAGATGTGGTTTTCAAAAACATTAAGTGTGAGGCTACAGGAATCTGGACACTGAAATTGGGAGACAGAAAGGGGCACATCTGGTAGAAATGAGAGGATATGGTGCTTTATGGGTACATGAGTGAGAAGAAGGGTGAAGTTCATCATAATCGCCAAGGTTCTAGCTGAGACCATTAGGTATCTGGAATACAGATTCCCAGGAAGACTGGAGTCCTGAAGAAATTTTCCTGGAAATTCTCTGGACAACTGCTTCTTCCTGTTTCTACTGTGCTCTACAAGTTCTGGGCATTATCGACCCAGGATGATACTGCTGGGGAGGGTCCCAACAGGCTTCAGTGTTCATCTAACCTTTCAGCGTGACAATCCTAAAACAATCTTTGATTACATTTTAGTCCCTTACTAAAAAATGTACAGTACTCTACCACTTATCTACCATGTAAATGTGTAAGTTGAAGTGTCTATACTGGGCATTAAAGGCCCTCTGTCACTATGCTAGAGGATGCCTGCCTACTTATCTTACTACTGTGCTAAATCAAACTTCCACTCCAGGCAGCTGGCCTGAGCCATATGCAATTTGGCCTTTACATCACTCCCATGCTGTTCTATTCTTCTTTAAGACTTAGCTAAATAACTACCTCTTTCAAAAAACTCTCTACAGCTGAACTCCTTTCTGATTTCTGTACTCACTATACTTAAATGTGCCACTGCATTGTTGGTTTTAAAATTTGTCTTTGACAACTAAAGGGAAGGTAGTTATAGCTTTTTTTTATATATACAAAGAACATGGTTCAGTGACTTATACACAGAAAACTCTCAAAATGTTAGTGATCTAACAAATACCATTCTGATTTTGTTTGTTTTGAGCTACAGTCAGACACTTATATTTATTCTTACTGTCCTTATTGTTACTATATTTAAGGCCCCAGAAGTTAAATAAACACACATTACAAAGGAAGATTAGTACACGGGGTGCTAATGAAAACCACCTCATAGGACTAGAAAATTGATGGAATAATAGTAAGAAAAAGTGGTGAGGTTGTTAAAGAGGAATATTTTTATACATTTAAGGAAAAGGATTGCATGATTAAACAAACACAGAAGCAACACAACAGATGAAAATAGTCTAAAAAGATAAAAGTCATGTCAGGATTCTTTATTTTTTAAATCAAAAGCATGAAATAGAAAAGGTGATTTATAGTTTTTTTGTTAATGTTTTAGGCTGATAAACTCCGTAAGGTGCTGTGGGATGTTCTGTATGGCAAATGTGTTGCTGATTAGTCAATAAATAAAACACTGATTGGCCATTGGCTAGGCAGGAAGTGTAGGTGGGACAAGGAGGAGAATAAAGCTGGGAAGTGGAAGGCTGAGTCAGAGAGACACTGCCAGCCGCCATGATGAGAAACAGCATGTGAAGATGCTGGTAAGCCACGAGCCATGTGGCAAGGTATAGATTAATGGAAATGGATTAATTTAAGCTGTAAGAACAGTTAGCAAGAAGCCTGCCACGGCCATACAGTTTGTAACCAATATAAGTCTCTGTGTTTACTTGGTCAGGTCTGAGTGGCTGTGGGACTGGCAGGTGATAGAGATTTGTCCTGACTGTGGGCCAGGCAGGAAAACTCTATCTACAAATGGCGTCCAACGTGGTGGCAAGAGTTTCCACCTAAAAACTGAAAAAAAAATTCTAAAACGGAGCTAAAAACAGCTTCCTAATTGTCTCTCTCAAATGAGCGGCAGCTGCCGGTTTGAGCTACTTGTGGGTTCCTAGCATGTGTGCGCTCGACAGGAATGAGGTCTCTGCAAGTGGCACATTAAGGTGCATGGTGGATTGAGCCTTTGCTAGTGCAAAGCAAAGGGAGAGGTTTCTGGGCTACACGCTGCTTGGATAAAAGCATAGAGACCCATGATAGCTCCCAGAGCTGGTGGTAAACGTAGCCATGTTGGGAAGCTGAGGTGGGCGGAACCAGCAGCCACAGCTGCTGCAGTTTAAAGCAATAGATTCACAATAAGACAAATTCAGATGTAATAGTTTACAATGTGTGTAAAATATACATAGGCTTGAAAAAGACAAAAAAGGTGATATATACAGTTATATAAACAAATACATAGTTTTAAAAAATAAAGTCTTTAAAGAGACAGTAAAATTAATATAAAAAATAAGCCACGTAAAGATGAATATTACACAGAGAATCTGGATTGTATTGTCTTTGGGATTTTTTTTTTTTTTTTGGTTTTTCGAGACAGGGTTTCTCTGTGTAGCTTTGTGCCTCTCCTGGAACTCACTTGGTAGCCCAGGCTGGCCTCGAACTCACAGAGATCCGCCTGGCTCTGCCTCCCAAGTGCTGGGATTAAAGGCGTGCGCCACCACCGCCCGGCGTCTTTGGGATTTTTAACTGCAGAAAAACATTTGATTGTAAAAGCTGTTGAGTTATGCCAAAATGTGTATTTTAAAGGTACCTTGACTTCAAAATTTGGATATAAGGATATGTTGCTTTGGAAAGGAGACTCTGCTTTTGTTCCCACAGAAAGCCAAAGGCTATGGATTTGTTCCAAATTAAGATACATCAGGTTTGACCAGCCAAGACCCCCTGAAAGGTCTCCGATGACAACATGGCCCAGATGATCCAACATCCAGAATGGTTTGAAGGCAACTGGCTCAGACGATACACCCTCATGGACTACTCCATAATCCTAAAATTTTCTTTGTGTCCCCATAAGATACAGTGCCCCCCTCCAGCAGGAAGCAGTAAGAGAAGCTATGCCCAAATTCCCAAATTATATGTAATTTTATTTTGTTAAGGTTAAAACCTTCCTTTTTGAAAAAAAAAATGGGGGAAGTGCTGTGGGATGTTCTGTATGGCAAATGTGTTGCTGATTAGTCAATAAATAACACTGATTGGCCATTGGCTAGGCAGGAAGTGTAGGTGGGACAAGGAGGAGAATAAAGCTGGGAAGTGGAAGGCTGAGTCAGAGAGACACTGCCAGCTGCCATGATGAGAAACAGCATGTGAAGATGCTGGTAAGCCACGAGCCATGTGGCAAGGTATAGATTAATGGAAATGGATTAATTTAAGCTGTAAGAACAGTTAGCAAGAAGCCTGCCACGGCCATACAGTTTGTAACCAATATAAGTCTCTGTGTTTACTTGGTTGGGTCTGACAGCTGTGGGACTGGCAGGTGATAGAGATTTGTCCTG